GTGTGTAAACTCAGCAAAATATTCTAAGAGTCCAGTAGCCCATAATAGCATATGTAATGCTATTATACATAGTTAATGTATATAAATTTAAGTTTTCTCACTCTTGTTATGTGAAAATGAATTACAAATTAGCCAATACTTTGTAGTAGATGTTGCTATTAAAAGTGGTCATTATCCATGGCTGATAGTATTAAAAATAAAAATCATTTACATTTCTATGCACAAGTGCAGAAGTGTTTAGTGATTATGTCTAATTCTCAATACAATAATAATTAGATTGGATATTTTATTTGATTGGCAATAGTAGAGGCTTCTAAGATCAAACAAGACAGAAAATGATAAATAAAATTTGTGCATGTATTGCATTTTTTCTTATTGAAATACTGTAGCCTACATCAATATTTTTGATTAAATTAAATTTATTCAAATATTCTATTTGCAAATAAAACACAGAATATATGTCTCATACACTGTGACCCCAATCCTAAAAAAAAAAAGATAGCTTCTCCTATATACCTACATCCTGAAGACATCCATTACCAAAAATAATCCTGTAGTATTTTTTATTGAAAACATCTTTTTTTCTTCTTACAAAAACATCTTAAGAGATGGAGAACTGAATAGTGTTTTTCTGAGTAAATTTCTATGATATGAACCTATTTTGTGAAGGAATTAAAATCAAACAAGCTAGTTCTCTACACTTTACAAGATTTATGTAATATGTACCAAATTATTGCTAATGAATCTGTCTAACAAGTTTAGTTTATCAATAACACTGGTTTAAAATGCACAGAAAAAGAAAGTCATTGTGAGGAAAAAAAAGTATAACAAGAAAGGAAATATAAGCCAAATGACTATTTCAAGTGTTTGACTTTTTAAGAATCTTTTTTCCGGTTTTCTCCAGAAAAAGATTTTCATCTCTATTTTTCACTTAGGGAGCATTTATAAATTTTTTGGTATTAATTGTGCTGCATTTCACAATCCAACAAAAAGTGGTTGTGGCACTGGAAACCCTTCCCTAAATCCAATAAACTTGAAAGCAGGATATTAACACAGTAGTTAGTGACCTGGATAAAGGCCTTTATTCTGTTGTGGAGTTGGTGGTGCCTGTAGGGAACAGTTTCTGGATTTGTGATGTTAGATCATTACTGTCTGCTACAAATGTTGATTCCTCGGTATCACTGTGGAACTACTGAACTATTAAATCTGGAGTTGAGACCCACAAATTTCCATTCTTGACAATTTCCCTCCGCGATTCCCAAGATGTAATTTTTACGCACACATAAGTTTCTTTCTTTTTTTTTTTTTTTTTTGGCGAAACCGGGAACGCACACATAAGTTTAAAAGCTACTGAGACTGCTTCGAAAGCTGTGGGACTCGCAACCCCGCGCCTCGGGTCTCTGCTGCCCCAGCACCTACCGGTCCAGAGGAACTTCTCATCCCAGACGGACCACATCTGGACGATGATGAAAGGCGCCCAACAGAGGATGTAAACCGTCACAATGACAAAAGTCATTTTCACCGTGCGGATCTTGGCGCGGGAAATAGTCTTCACGCTGCTGACGAAGGGCGCGTCCGAGAGCCCCTTGTGGAAGGCGCTCCCTGAGCCCCCTGCGCTCTTGCCCTGGCGCGACGCGGTTTTTCCGCGGACATTGCGCCAGATGTGATAGCAGATGAAGCCGTAGCAGGTACCTAAGATGACCACGGGTGCCACGAAGACGCAGCTCGTCATCCAGGTGACGTAGGCGCGGCTCCCCCAGGGCTGGATGAAGGTGGCCCAGCAGTCTTGGGCTTTGGTGACGTTGTCCACCTCGATCATGGAGAAGATGAAGTACTGCGGGGTGCTCAGCGCGAAGCTCAGCGCCCAAGAGGCGGCGATCATGAGGCGCGAGCGGCGCGCGGGCTGCTGCAGAGTCTTGAGCGGGTGGCACACGGCGATGTAGCGGTCCGCGGTCATGACGACCAGCATGTAGGCCGACGCGAACATGGCGAACACCTGCAGGTGCTTCACCACGCGGCACAGCCAGTCGGGGCCGCGGAAGCGGTAGGTGATGTCCCAGCACAGCTGCGGTAACACCTGGAAGAAGGCGACCGCCAAGTCGGCCAGGCTGAGGTGCCGGATGAAGAGGTGCATGCGGGACGTCTTGCGAGGCGTCCGGTGCAGAGCTAGCAGCACGCTGCTGTTGCCCAGCACCGCCACCACGAAAGTCACAGCCAGCACAGCGATCTCTACCTTGGCCAGCTCCTCGTTGCGCACGTCCCGGGGCTGGCAGTCGCCTTCGCCCGGCACATCTGCCTCGCCGCTGCTGTTGGCACCGTCTGCGGTCGGAGCCCACCAGGAGCTGGAGTTGCCCGCCGGACCCGCGTCCGCGTTGCGGGAGAAGCGCATGCTGTCGGCGCGGCGCCTCCGAGTCGGTGGCCGCGGGCCTGTCCCTTCCCGCTCCTGGGCTCTTGGTCGCTTTGCCCCAGCACCGCGTCTTCCCCGAGCTCGGCGTTCTCCGGGTCTGCAATTCCTCGGCGCGTCCCGCCTGCCCACCGAGCAGCCCGCACGCGGGGCCCAGTTCCTGACCTTGCTCTGCCTTTGCTCAGTCCCCGAAGAGCGCTGGAGGTGCGCTCCGAGCTTCCAACTGCACCCGGCTCCGAACTCAGTTATTTATGCGAGATTTGTTTCCGCGGAGCGCGCTCCCTCTCGGCCCACTGGCTGTTGAGGTTCAGCCCCCATTGGTCCCGCCCGCTTACGTGGGTAATTGGCCCTCTCCGCATCACTGCTGCGGGGTGGGGACAGGACACTTGTGGGTTTCTAGGAGTAATAAATAGGCCAGACCCCAGCGCTTTCCCACTCTTGCAAAAACTTGGAAAACTGGGCGTGCCGTGCCATTTCTGGGTCTGTCACCCTTTCTTGAAGCCTCATTCTGCCATCACCGTAAATCCACGTTTGCTGTCAACAGGCGGAGGCCGCGCGGTGCCCAGAAATCTCACGTCCACGCACCCGCGCGGGCTCACGCACCTGAATTTGGCGCCCAACCTCCTGTGCTTTGCTCAGCGAGTTGAGACCTGAGAAATCAAGCTGGCTAATGTTATTCGGGCCTTAAATTTGTTCCTGGAAGGAGATGTCTCCGTGTCCCTCCAGATCCCTCGTGCCTCTCTACAGTCGTCTGCTATTTGTTACCCTGCTTCTTCCGACAGGAAGGACGCCCTCCCTGTCCCACGGAAGCCTTCTCTGTACCGCGCCTGTATGGAGCGAACGCGGGGTGTGTGTGTGTGTGTGTGTGTGTGTGTGTGTGTGTGTGTGTGTGTGGTCTCCTCGTTTTCCAGCTTTTCTGCGGATCCTGGGGATTTAAGGAGTTTTCTCTGAACCAGATTCCTTAAGTTTTCTCCAGGAAACCCGATTCTCACGCCAGGGACGGCCGGAACTGGGCTGCAGTAGTGCGCGGAGAGTTCGTCTGGTTACTTTCGGAATCCTTTGAACTTTTCCTCCAGTGGGCAAAGAACAGCTTCGGAACAGCGCCCAGTGTCGGGTCAGGAAATGGTGTCCAGGGAACAGGTGTGGACAGCTTGGTTTCTGCTCGCGCAGGTGAGAGCGGAGCTGTGGAGACAGCAAAGAGGCTCTCCAAAGGAGGGCGGAAAACAGCACCCACGTATTGAATTAATTAAAATGGATAAGGGGAGCCCTGCGGCGGGGAGACGTCCCTGCGCAGAAAATCTTAGGACGCTTTCAGCTGTTTTAGCTTTGTTGAACTAGGCTTCCCAAGCCAGCAAGGGGGAGCTGTTCTCAGGCTATTTTACAAAGAAGAAAAAAAAATTATATAGCTATGTACTATGTGGATACATGAACATGACTTTGATGGCTAGAACATCTACACTGTGGCCATAGTATACATTTGATTGTCAGAAGAATGTCGCCATCTATGAGCCTAGACAGAAAACTCCAAATATTTCCTTTGGGGCCGTTTTGCTATAATCCCACTTTGCTATCCAGTTCATGATACAGAATACCAAGGGTCCATACATTAAAAAAGGTGCTGAACTGAACATCTGGAGTGCTGTTTTATTGTGTTTATATAACCCTCCATATGTGTATCTTAAAAATGGGAATACGGAAAGAATATCTGCTTTCCTACTTAAGAGGCTAGTGGGAGGACTGAGTGTGTGTATGTGACTGAAAATGGTAATCCACATGGCATGGACTCATGGGCTTCTTTGCTCCAAGTTGTCTAGAAGATAACAAATCAAAAATGATCCGGGGATGGTAATAAGAAAAAGTTAATAAAAATTAAGAAATTAAGTCACTGGATCAGAGAGGTGACCTTTTAAATCTGGAGTTACATAATTCTCTTCATGAGAGATAATATTGACTGATCTTAGTGTCTCTCAGTATTGCAAAAATGGTCCATTGCAGAGAGACTCAAATTTTATAGTTACTGGATATACACAAGAATTTTAGATTTCTTCAGGGAAGAACCTGTAGTGCAAGCTCAACAAAGTTTGGAGGTATTCTTTCTGAAGAGATGGTGTGTGACCCCTAGGAAAATCATTCATGTGTGCTAGGGAATCTGATCCAATAATCAAATTATATCAACATACTCAATTTACAAAAATAATCTGTTAGTTTACATCAGTCAATATAATCAGAAGGTATTATTGTGTGACAAGACAATGATCACATATGTATATGTTTAAAACACATATATTATGCATCTGTATGAATGTAAGTATGTTTACATGACTGTGTATGTATGTATGCATGTAAGACTCTGGTGAGGGCTGAGGGGCCTAGAAAGGAGGAAATATGTGTCACAAATCTCAAAACTAGTCCCTCTTTTAACTCACATAGCTTAAAAACAAAAAGCATGTCTTAATTTTCTCTATATTCAAATGAAAGCAAGACTGTTAAAATGGAGACTCATTGAAATGCGTGAGTATTGAATCTTTATCTCAATGACTCCTTTCCCTTCAGTTTTAAATTGATGACACCATTGTCACAATGGTCTGTAGTCTGTTATTGATATCATTACTTCTAATGAGTCAACAAATATTTTTGCCTAGCTCTGTACTAGGTCTGGAGCTAGCTATCAGGAAGGATATAATGACGACTATTGGTTATCAAGTATTTGTCTGTTCCAGGCACTGTTGTAAGCAACTTGCAAGTATTATTTTACCTAATCCTTCCTATGACCCTACAGGGAGATATACATTTGAATAAAGATTTGAATAATTTGCATTTGAGTAAACAGAGGCAGAGAATATAAATAGCTAGCTTTTTGTAAAAGAGCTGGCCAGTGGTAGAATGGTATGAAAAACAAGCAGTTCCATTGAAATTTATTATCCTAATCACTATAACATGGTGCCTTCTGTGAACCTCATGCTTGTCTATTTCTCAGACTTAAATAGACCATCTGATTGGTTATTTAACATTTCATCTGTATATGGCATTTTCTCCTATAAAACTAAGGGATACTGTAGTATCTGCATTGGTTCGTACATATCTTTGGTAAACCAATACCGGGGCAATAGTAGGAGCAGTAGTAATAATGATAGCTACAATAATATTAGATTCTATGAATATTTACTGACATTGATTAAATTCTTATTTCATGAAGTAAGTGCTTTAAATTCATTTCATTTATTTTTCAAAATAATAAATGCTCATTTGTGAGTAGAGATACAGCTATCCATATCCCATTGTATAGGTAAATCAAATAAGAGTTACAGAAGTTAAGATACTGAACCAAAACCTCAAGAATCTAAGTAATTGAGCAAGAGTCATCCGTAAGTCCATTTTATGTCAAGACCTGAAGCCAACTTCTATGTCCAGTGCCTTAGACACACATCATAAGCACCTAATATTTCTTTGCAGGATGAATTAACATACCTAGTAAAAGCTGTCTATAGAGTACTGAATAAATATAAAATCCCCAAATTCTTTGTGGCTATACAAATTAGGGAAGAGTTCTTGAGGAGCTGCCTCTGAATGCCTTGATTGCATAGCAGGTCTCTATGGAAGTGGGGGGGTCAACATTCATATTTGGAAAGAACTTATATGATTCTAGTAACCACTATACTGAATTTTAAAGCTATTCAGTGAATGAACTTTTATACATAAAAGCACATACACAAACACACATACACATACTGAATTATAAAACATGCAACAGGTCAAACATGGAAAAACATCAGATCTTCACTCTACTGTAAAACTAAAAACGAGAAGATGGATTCTATTTACCAAGCTGTGTTTTTTTTTCTGGCATCAAATAAATAAATGGTTGCTATTATATTTTGTTTCTTATTTTCTTTTTTCTTCAAACAGGGTTTATTGAGCGATATTACTTGTGTTTTTATTTGTTTATTGTGTTTTCCCTTTCCTGCTCACCCCTCCTGACCTCCACCACTTCAGAACTTGCCAGATATTTCAAAGTTCTCCAAAAATCTTTTCTTATCACCA